AGGAAGGGTTTTAATGACAGAAGAGACCATATTGATCTCTTCTGTCATAACTGCTTTTCCCTGCCTGTCAGTGGTAATGTAAACTGGGCTTTGCATGCACAGCTTAGCATACATTTTTGGAATTGCTCTGAGCAATTTTGATATGACTCCCTTGTGCATGCATGGGTGTGACATCATCTTGGCCTGGCCATTCAAGCGGCTGAAGAGACCAAATCCAAAAGGAAGACTGGGATTAGATGGAAGCACCCATGACCAGTGCAATGCTTGAGGGGATCGTTTGACAGGTAAGTCTGGCATAATATGCTAATATACTGTGCACACCAACACATTATGGCTAATGACTCCTGGGGGCACATAAAAAAATAGCAGAGTTTAATTACACTCTGATGCAGTTCGGCACATTGCATGCAATTCGCACAGGAACCGCAATGCATTCCTGTGCAAATCACATGCGATTTCTGTGCGGTGCAATTTGAGCCATACATTTTGTATGGCTCAGATCACACCACATCTGCACCAAATAGTGCAGGACCCTTTTTGTGGTCCACACGAGAATCGGATTGCATGGGTATTCACACCCATGCGATCCGATTCTGCACATTGCACTGCATTTTGCAAACCAATTTCGGGGTGTTGTTAACTTAACATACATACCTGCAGCGATTCGCATAATTGGGGTGCAATCGTGATGCTGTGCGGAAATTTCACAGAAACCGGTGTGAATTCTGCACCACATCAGTGTGAACCCAGGCTCAATGAAAGCTTTTGTGACTAGAGTTCTTCTGTAAAAGAACTTTGTCCTAAAAAAAAAACAGTGATGTGAAGTTTCTGAAGAACACTAGTAGGCAGGTGTAGTTCTCACTCTATCCTGATGGTGGTGTTTTGCCGCTATGCAGCCTCCATACACATCTCAGGGAGACCAGCTATCCGATAGGACACTGCAGTCCCCAGTGAACTTCCCATGGCCGTCTTGGATAGGGCAGCCCTTATAAAAAAGGGGACCCTGCCCGGGTTTGGCATGCATTTGCAAGTGGTAAAGGAGAGGGACAGGAAAGAGAAAGAGATATAGCATTAGGAAAAGATTCTTACATGAGGAGGGAAAGTGTAGGTATAGCACTGTACACCCCTCAAGCCACCAGCAGGGTTGCTAACTGTCCATAAAATCATGGACAGTTTGTAAATACCGGACTATTTACAAGCTGTCCATAAATGTCTTTTACGGACAGTGTCTGCCGCATTTGGCCGTGAGCTGATGGAGGATGGGTGAGGTGAGGCATGCGCAGTTCTGAGCTGGCCAAGCTCAGCAGGGCTCAGGCAGGAGGGGGCAGGCATTGGTGATGCCATTGTGCCACTTGGCACATTTTACAGATATAGCAGGGCCAGCCAGGAGAGGCAGGAGGACCCAGGAGTGGGAGCACCAAAGGGAGCTGTGGACTGGAGAAGAGAATGCTGGTGCAGACTGTCAAAGAGAAGCCTTGCTGCCTGGAGCTGAAGGAAAGTGGCGTGACTCCGACCCAAGGCCGAGCGAGCAAGCATTTGGGAGATCAGTGTCACAATACATTACTCCAGTCACCAGCAAGACCACACAGTCTTGTTGGGGAGGGGTTCACTGATGTAAGGAGGGACTTGGGGAGTAAATTCACTAAGGTAAAGGGGAACACTAATAAAAAGGTTCTCCTTCATATCAGAACCCCCTTACCTTAGTGTATTTGCTCTGCGGAAGGTAGTCTGTGGTCACCAGAGTCCCTCCCTTCCTGGTGTTCCCCCTTAAATCAGTGCCCTCAGAGTTCCCCTTCACATAAGAGTCTGCAGGATTCCCCCGTACAGTGCAAGGGGGAAGTCTGTGAACCATGATGTAAAGGGGAATGCTGCAGAGCCCATCTTACATCAGAGTTCCCCTTTACTCCAGAGTCCACAGCATTTTCCCTTATATCACAGTCCACAGCATTCCTCTTTACATCAGCATTTCCCTTTACACAGAGTTCCCTCTTGTATTTTAAGGGGGAATCCTGCAGACTCTGATGTAAGGGGGAACGCTGTGGATTCTTGTGTAAGCAAGAGAGGCTCTGGTGATCAGAGACCCCCTTATAATCAGAGTTCCCTTTTACACCACGGACAGTCTGACAGTCTGCAGCATTCTTCTTTACATCAGGGTCCTCAAAGTTCCCCTTACCACAGTAAAGGGGAACTCTGTGGACTCTGATGTAAGGGAGAACTTTGTGGACTGTGATGTAAAAGAGAACTCTGTGGACTCCGATTTTAGGTCTGCAGCATTCTTCCTTACATCAGTGTCCTCATAGTTCTCCTTTACATCAGGGTCCACAGAGCTCTCCCTTGTACTGTAAAGGGGAACCCTGCAGACTCTGATGTAAAGAGAAGCTCTGTGCTGGGTTATATTAACCTGATCTTCATGTAAATGGAGAAATGTGTTTTTTGCCTTTTGTTATACCTTAACCACATTGCTAATAGCACTGGATACATGTTTATAGCATAAATGTTGATATTTGCACTGAAAACGGTCATTTTATTTATTTTTAAAGTGTCAGCAAAATATTTGGCTCTGTCAGTAAATTTCATGCATTTTGTCATTTAAAAAATATGGTGCTCTTAGTAAATTTTTGGTGTCCTGTCAGTAAATTTTATTTTGGGAGGTTGTCAACACTGGCCACCACTGCTGCTGCTGCAACCTTCCTAACGTTGCTCAGTACATTTAGCCAAGTCTTGTCTTCCCACCAGCAGATGCTGTCCCAGCAAAGTAGGCCTCAAATGTATTGTGCCTTACTGTGAGCCTAAAGAAATACCTTTGCATACCTGTATTGATACTGTGTGACCTGCTGGCATAAATTGGTGATACGTTGATGACCTTCTGCTACTACCAGCACACTGTCTGCAATTTTTCTGTGACAGAGCAAAGTAATAATCATACATCTTACTGCAAGTGTTACTACAACTGTTACAGCAAAATTTAATACTAGTATTACTAGAATTGTTACTTCAAGTTTTAACATTAATGTTACTACAGTGTTACCTCAAGTACTCTTGTAACCCTGTTTCCATGCTACTTTTTCAAATCTAAGAGCTGATAACTCTTCTAGCTGTCTATGTGCAGTTCTCTGCTGTTCTCCCTTCATTGGGTACCTTGAGTCCTGGCCATGTCTACACTCTACCATTCCCATCACTCCAGCTCCCAAGTTCCCTGTAAGCCTTGTTTCACACCGAATCTGACTTTGAAATTGTATGACTGCATTTGAAGTTGTGCGATTTTAAAGTGGCATGCTATTATAGGGGAACCTTGGCAGACAGATGTGCAACTTCATGTACAAATGTATATGCAATCACCCCTGAAATCACAAAAAATAATGCAGGAACTACTTTCAAAATCAGTGCAACTCCGACAGCATCAGTCACACCGATTTGAATGGTTCCATTGCAGACAATAGGGTGCGACTTTTCATGCAACTTGAAACTGTTAAATCTCATGACAAGTCGCACTGGGGTGAGCCAGGGCTAAATGGCATGCTTCTCTAGAACATGTGTGCCAACTGGGGTTGAAGAGGATCGCTATAGAGCAGGGGTCCTCAAACTACAGCCCGTGGGCCACATGTGGGCCGCCGAGGACATTTATCCTGCCCTCCGGGTAGGGGCATATCTGCCACGAGGCAAGGGACTAGGGTTTGGCAGGTCAGGAGAGCTCGGCAGGGCTCGGGCGGGAGGCAGGAGGGCGGGATCAGCAATTCTAGAACAGGGGAAGGTGGACTCGGCTTATGAACCCGCACCACTCACCTGGCCTCTCTGCAGCCAGCCGGCCATCTATTCTGATCAGTGCATGCAACCTTCACGGCCGGAGGGTGGAGCCTAGAGCTGACCATGAAGAGGGGGAGTAAGAGAGGAGACTCCATCGCTGCATGTCGGGTATCACGGCCATGGACCCTAGATAAATGCAATAAATGATCGATCTCCTCCCTCTCTCTTCTTTCCCCCTCTCTCCCTCCCCCTCCCCCTCCTCTCTCTCCCCCCTCCTCTCTCTCTCTCCCCCCTCCTCTCCCCCCATTCTCTCCCCCCTCCTCTCTCTCTCTCTCTCTCTCTCTCTCACCCTCCCCCCCTCCTCCCTCTCCCCCCTCTCTCTCTCCCCCCTCTCCTCTCTCCCCCCCTCCCCCCTCTCTCCCCCCCTCCTCTCTCTCTCCCCCTCCCCCCTCCCCCTTCTCTCTCTCTTCCTCCCCCCTCCCCCCTCTCCCCCCTCCCTCTCTCTCTCTCCCCTCCCCCCTCCTCTCTCTCTCTCCCCCCTCTCTCTCTATCCCCCCTCCTCTCTCTCTTACTCTCTCCCCTCCTTACTCCCCCCCCTCTCTTTACATTGTACACAGATCTGACCCAACAAGGTGTCCTGCATTTACCGTATATTTCGCTTCATAAGACACACTTGGGGTGAAATGTCTGTGCATCTTATCGCCCAGTATTCCTGCCGCCGTTGTATGTCCGCAGTCTCTGGTCATCTCCTGTACTGTGTCCGCATTTGTTCATAGTGTCTGCAGTTTGGCACTCCATCTATGTGAGGAGGGGGGCATCTTACCTGTCTGAAGATTGGCACTTGTAGTGCACCCTGCATGACTTCATTCTCCCCACATGGACACTATATATGTTGCTATAGTCACTTTACTGTGTGGTATCACTTATTTATCACTTATTAATTATATGTGATAAGGTATCTCTAATACATCTAGGGCTGTAATGATATAGAAGCGCCGCACGTTTTTCTATTTTTTCCCCCGCATTTGTTCATAGTTTTTTTCTTTAAAACTATAGTCCGGCCCTCCAACGGTCTGAGGGACAGTGAATTGGCCTCCTGTTTAAAAAAGTTTGAGGACCCCTGCTATAGAGGGTTCACATACTGTACAGAAATTTTTACTTTGGGACAAAAAGCATTTATTTATTTATTTAGGTCTGTATACATTAGCTAATTTCATATTCCAATAACATTATCAGTCCAAAATGATACTACTTACTTTTGCCTTTGTATTTTTCATTCCTCGGGGAACAAATGTTTCTGACAAATGGGATACAAACAGGCGAGGTGAAGGACGACTGTTGTAATCTACGTCCGGATTTAGTGCTCGGGATTCAAGCCATTGAACTCTTTCAGAAGTTTCAATTTTTTTAGTACCATTTCGGTGCTCTTCACTGCATATTAAGCTTAATATTTGCTGAGACCAGATGGTTCCTTTTTAATGTGAAAGGCTAATATGCATTAATTTGTACATATACAATAACACAACCTTAGCTGTATCTCTCCAGGATGCTCTGTGATAGGGTGCATAGTTGCCAATATTTAAAAAAAAACTTCCAGGGACACCTTTTTTTTTGCTGTGTGTCCAGTAAGCCATTGTAGGTGGATGTACTCTAATTAGGGGCAAGGCATTCATTTAAAATGGGTGTGCTTTTACAAGAGGCATATTGTTAACCTAATACAATACTTATATTAAATATTAAATGTTTTTACTTCACCCAGCCACTCGCCCTTAGGGCCAGTTCACACTGCATGCTTTTCAGTTGCTTTTTTTCTGCATCCAAAATGCACAGAAAGTAGGATATATGGTTGTCAATGTCATAATTCACATCAGCGATTGCAGTTCCAGTGCGTTCCGGTTGAAATAAAAAAAGTAGAACATGCTGAATTTTTTCTGCACAGAACTGTACTGAAATACACCAAATGCACCAAAAATGCACTGGAATGCATTAAAAACGCACTGGAATGCGTCAACATACATAAAAAATGCACTGGAATGTGTGAAAAAAACTCGCATGAGGAAACGCATCTGGACTGCGTTTCTATAGTGTGAACCAACCCTTAGGTGGCAAAAATGATCCCCTTTGTTGCATTCGGTGGGCAGTACTGCAGCTGAAAGTGACTGATTAAAGTGATCCGCGCTACAACAGCTAGCCAAACAGTAGGCCTGCAGTTGTGATGTGATATTTGCATTCAAAAATCCCCGTTAAGCTGTTAAAAAATGGATGGAAAAATCTTCCTTGTTGAGACGTATTCTGATAGCAGGGTCTTTTCACAGTTAAAATACACTGATCAGAGGCTGCAGCCGCTGATCAAGAAAAAGTTCCCAACCTGCCCATTTGATAGAATTATTTGTTAGATCGAATTCCTTTGAGCAGGAGCTTCTACATATACATATAAATCCAGCCAGTCCCTGCAGAACTGGCCAGATTCCAATCCATCTATGGCCAGCCATAGCTGGCCAGATACAGTTCTTTATTGGCCACTGGCTGATCAAAAAAAAAAAGGCAAGCAGATTTCCCAATCCACACAAGCAAGCTGGATGGTAGAATCCTCCCTGCTGTGCTGTTGTATTTTGACAGCACTCCTCCCCTGCTAGAATCCACTGATCAGCCAATCAGCTGCAGCCAACTGATCAAGAAAAACTTTCCAACATTAGTACTAAAGAAAAACAAAAGTAAATAAAAACAACAAAATACTGATATTAACAATAAATATGTAAACACTACTCCCAGCGTTTAAAAAGAGGACTGCAGACATGAACTACATTAATGATCATTCTGCGGAGTAAATGGTGGAAAACCACTACTTAAATGAAGTAATTAAAGAAGAATTCCAGGTATTGATATTTTATATATACAATAGTTGTATTGTTCCAGCTTGGACCAATAGAATTATTAATAAACCATACCTGGCCGATGACCCTGGAAGCTGGAAATCACTGAAAGACACAGCTACTCGGGTGATCTCCACTAGTTTTCAGCTCCTGTGTTGAGCGGCTGCCCTGCTGAACTCTGAACACAGGAGGTCAGAAGCTCAGCACGGGCACCAATCAGAGAATGCTTTGCATTCTATGAATAAATGCAAAGTATTCTCTGATTGGACAAGGTGGGGAGGTGGGATGGTGATGTCAATGCAACAGGGCAGCCACTCAGCAAGGGACCCAGAAACAAGTGGAGGTCACTGGAGAAACTGAGTCTACTACAGTGATTTCCAGTTCCAGGGGGATTGGTCAGATATAGTATAAACACAGTTACAATGGTCCAATGTAGCTATGTATAATATAGCCATACCTGGAGTTATTCCTAAATTGCCCTTGAGTTCCAGCACTGCAGAAGACACTGGACACAAAATGAAACACACAAATGAAGCAAGCTGCAGCAGAACGCCACATGTGTCTACCAACTGCCTGCAGACACAGCCATCTATCCCACACACTCACCCGCTGCCCTGCAGTGGAGATACTCTGCTTCTGGGTTCTGCAGCCAACTCTGAAGATCAGACTTTACAGTGCCCTGAGCAGTACTTGAAAATCATAGAGGGCTTCAAGTGCAGCCCCTAACACCTCCTGAGGGCTGCACAATTAATGAGCTTGAGCACACCTCAATGTATCAAAAGGCACACTGAAGGAGTCCAATAACTCCAGTATTAGTACCAGTGCCTGCAATAATAACCCACAGCATCGGTGTTAGTAGCAGTAATAATAATCCCCAGCATTCATGTCAGTGGATGCAAAAATAACCCCTAACATTGATGTCAGTGAGTGCAATAATGTTCCCCGACATTGGTGTAAGTGGATACAATAATAACCCTCAGTATTGGAGTCAGTGGACACAATAATAATCCCAACATTGGTGTCAGTGGACATAATGATAACCCCTAGCATTGGTGTCAGTGGGTGCAATAAAACCCAAAAGCAAAGTGGAGGATGAAGGGTTAACTTTTCACAGCTGTCAATGCAGATCTTGCTGCCTTGCTAAAATCATGACTGTTGGCAACCATGCTGGTGTACAACTATTTTCCTAGCACACACTGACAATTGGTTCATAGTTGCCAACAATCCCGTTTTTAGCAGGAGATTACAGCTTCCTTGCCATTTGTCCCTGGATATTTTCATCCTGGGCTGCATCCTGGGTTGGGAACAGAATGCATGGGTTAGCTCATTTCAGCCGAGCTACACCGCACTGTGTGCAGTGAAATTCACAGCGCTGCTGGAAAGAAGGGTATCTTTCCTGCCAGAGATAGATGCAAAAGCTGTGCCTGCATCCATAAAAGAACTCAGCGGCTGGCTGCTGCATAGAACACACTGCAGTATAGACTGTACAGACTGTACTGTGGTTGGAGATATTTCTGCCCACAGTATAGGCAAGCCCGGCCAGTAGGAAGAGAGAGTGGTGCAGGAGCCTGTTATAAGGTAATTGGGATATGGTAGAGGGCTGCGATTGAGGAAAGGGTTAACTTTCATTGCCATCACCACTAATGCAGTGGGGAATGGGGAGTTAACCTTCATGGTAGTGAAAGTTAACCCAACATTATTACTCATGGGGGGTTACATTTCAATGTCACTTACTACCAATGTGGGGGATTAATAGTACTGACACCAGTGCTGGAATTATTATTACATCCACTGCCACCAGTGTTCAGGTTATTATTGTGTCCACCGACACTAATGCTGAGGGTTACCCTTATGTCCACTGACCCCAATGGGGGTGTCACAGTTTGTCGCTCTCCCCCCTCTGCTGGCCCGCTCAGGAATGCCCCCCTGCTGTCTCTCGTCCTGCTCTTTGAAGCCGAGCTGCGCAAGACAAGAGGCGCGGCTCCTCTCACCTCTGCTACTATCTTATCCCCATCCAGCGAGGCCAGAGGGGACAAGATAGCGAGGTTCACACCTCTCTGCGGAGAGGTGCAAACCTCCTGCAGAAATGTTCCGGACCATGGCGTCAGGCTGACTCCACAAGGTTCCGGCATGCGCAGAGTGGGCACGAGGAGTTCCCGCTCTTGCGGATGCCTCCGGACAAAGGCCGCACTCACGAGAGCACGACCCCTGTCCAGAGGGGCAACGAGGCACGCCACCCACAGACCTCCCACCTTTGTGAGGACGACCGGGAAGCGTCCTGCATTGGTTTAAAAGATCAATGCCGGGCTCCCCGGTCATCCATTCCGCTGCCAAGCCACAGAGGGATCCCCAGCTGAGGTGGGACCCTCGTGGCCACTCTGCATAGACCCCCCAGGAATAAGAGGGAGCCTCTGCGGGCTGCCGCTCTGCACACCCCAGAGGAGGGGGAGAACCACGCAGCTGCCCACCGCAAGCCCCAGAGAAGGGGGAGACCTCTGCAAGCTGCCACTCTGCAGATCCCCAGGATAAGGGGGAGACTACCGCAAGCTGCCCCACCGCAAAGCCCCAGGAGAAGGTAGAGATACGTCAGCTGCCCTCTGCAGTCACCCAGGACTTGGGGGGGGGATAGCTGCTACTGACACTGACATTGTTAATACTCCAGGGCTGGGAGTACCGCTGACACTGCTAATACTCCAGGTCTGGGAGTACTGCTGACGCTGCTAACTGCTAACACTCCAGGGCTGGGAGCACTGCTGACACTGCTAATACCCTGGGTCAGGACTATCTGCTGTGGGTCCCATGATACTCTGCCTAATACTCTGGGGCCCGGATTACCCGCGGTTGATGTGTGCTAGAAATACCCGCTGTTGCTATGTGCTGTGCAGGGTCGCCCTGCTGCCGTCCGCTGTGAGCCAGGACACCTGTCAGGAATGGATTTGCCAATAATGGTGGGACTCACCTGCCTTGTGGGCTGCAGTACCAGGGCTGGCCAGCGGGTGCTCTCAGCAATCAGAGACTCAACCCTGCAGTCAGCCAAACACCTGAAGCTGATTAGGGAGGTGTATTTAAGGGATGGCCAGACCTGCAGTCTGTGCCTTGGTGTGTGTTTTTCCATGGGCCCCTGTATCTTGTTACCTGCATTCCTGTTCCTGTTCCTGCCTGACTGACTTGTTGCCAACCCTGCTTGATCCTGACCTCTGCTGACTTCTCCTGTTTGATCCCTGGCTTGTGACCCCGACCATTCTCTGCCTGACCCCCTGTACCTACCTGCCCGTTAGTTGCTGTACCCGGCTCGTGACCTGACTACTCTCTGCCTGCTCCTCCTGTTCCTACCTGCCCGATTGTTATTGACCCGGCCTGCCTGACTACGCTTGCATTGTATGTATTGTTATCTGTGGGTGGTTTGGTTCGTTTGCACTTTGTTTATGTTTTAGTATTGCACTGCGTTTTGTATTGTTAGTATTATTAAATTATATTGTTTATAACATATCTGAAGCCTGCGTTTCCCTGTGTCAGTTCACATACCACTGGTCATACCCGGAGCCCTGACAACACCCCTGCCGGAGCCATGAGTGTATGCACCTCTGTTTTATTCCCC